AGCAAAGGAAATTTGACCAAATGGAAGAATCATGCTAATTCTAACCTCAATACTGTAGTAACTTTAAGGCTTGGGTGTAAAGTATGTTGGTGTCTATTGACAGTTACTGTAAATGAACTTTTACTATGGTACAAATTCTTACAACTGACTTAACCATTTGCCATTTTAATAGTTTACATACTGAAAAGAAAACATCCTGTGGAGAAAAATGATTTCAGATTATGAACTCTTCAAATTAGCTATTTAAAATGGGGCCCTTTTCTAGACAAAGGAAATCAAGAATGAACATGATCCAAAGGAAGTCAGAATTGAACTTTCTGAGGTGAAAAGTGTACATTGTTTTAAGAGAGAGATACAGTATTTTAATCACATCTTTTCTCATTGCTTATTTCTTAGGATAATTTCTGGCTTAACGCAAAATCATCAATGACTTTTTTATTTTCTGCATTTTTGTGACATTTTTTGAGACAACTGGTAATTAAGACATTCTGCATGTTTTAAACCTAGTTTTGTGAAGAATTGTCTTAACTATGTAGAATACCACCTACTGGATATGACAATTTTTGTACTTAGTGAACACTGCCATTTTCTTATGGACAACTTGAGAAGAGTAATACTATGATTTATAGCAGGCGTCCTCAAACTACAGCCCATGGGCCACATCTGGCCTGCCAGGTGTTTTTGCCGCTGCTGCCTGTCCTGCTTAGCAGCCGACTTGTCCTGGGGCCAGCCCTCCAACGGTCTGAGGGGCAGTTAACTGGCCCTCTATTTAAAAAGTTTGAAAACCTCTGATTTATAGCTTTCAATAAAAATGCCAAACACTGTAGTACCTTGGAACCAGTACCTTGAAAGTAGAACTGTGTAATAGTTAAAATGTCTTAACACATACTTTTCTAATTATATAGACACCATTTTTGTTTTTTATTCCATTCTTTATTTTGATTTATATGGTAGGGTTGTCCAGTACTTTCTGGTCAGACAGGTTCAAAGCAAAAACTAAAATTTTTAGTTTTTTTAAAAAAAACCAAAAAAAAAAAAAAAAAAAAAAAAAATTAATAGCCCAAGGTATATTTTGTAACTATTAAAGAAAGGCTTAAAATTTGGAAAACATTTTGTTGGCATAGTAGTAATTGGGTGAAAAGGATAAATTATGTCAAAGTGAGAATGTTATATAATTAGAAATAAAAAGCTAAAGTATGTTTCTATCTGTTAAGTTGTATAACTGGGTCCTTTTCTGTACTAAACATGGCTTTTATAAATACCTGGTCCAGTAATTGTATTCACTGACTCAGTATCTAATAGCTCATTAATGTCTTTTTCAACTCTGAAACAGCTCTAATTTAAAAATGAAACTATATATTGAAATAAATTTGATACTTTTTTGTAATGAGGTCCTGAGTTTGTTTGTTTGTTTGGAGAGAGGGTAACAGTTTAAATTAGATATGTTAGGCAAGTTAGCCTTTCGATTATTGGTAAGCATACTTGTAAAAGGTTCAGAAAGTGCTTGTCAAAACCTAAGAACCTCTGAGAATATTTATGGACCAATTTAAATAACACATAATGCTATTATTTTAGGTTATTAGTTTCTACTTGGTGCCAGTGTGAGTGACATATCAAAACTCGAGGTGCTGAAATAATGCAGCGTTTAGTTATGAGTTGGTTATTCAGGTGATTTAGGATATATTTATATTATCATTGAAATTAAAACTTAAAAGTTTTCTTCTATAAAACTACCAGCACAGAACCTTGTTGAAAAAGGGTTAAGATATATCTAAAATATTTTTTGGTTTTCTGTTATTAAGCTGTTCATGGAAAGAATTTTTATATATATACATATATGTCTAGCTTGCCACATTTTAGAATAAAAGTATTTCAGCAAAGGATGTAGTCATAATTCTCAGTTATGTACTAAAGCTATGGTTTTATTGATCATCTTGTAGCAATATATAGATACTTAACTAAAAGTCTTTTTCTTTTATTTGTTAAAGTCTTAACAGATGCCAATTTTTGTATTTGTTTGACATTTGCTATTTTTTATTTCTTTAGCTTATCCCAATATTTATAGAGCCTTTTTATACATGTGAGATCAAGATTTACAGTATTTGTGTTTATTTAGGGGGCTAGGCGGAGTGGGTATAAAATAAGGAATATTGTGAGGTTTGGGATTCTTCAGAAAACTCCCATTTTCTCTCACTGTAACAAATAGTACTATTGTTGAAAGAATCACATTTATTATTTAGAATATTTCTTTTTAAAAATTTCCTACTTATTTAATTATGTTGTTTGTGAAGTTCTGAGAATGAATATAATCAATTACCTTTTCATAGCTTAGCTGTATTGGGGAGGGATACAAGTGGTCCCTAGGCTGCCTGTCATAACCATTTTATCAAAAATAAATAAAAAGAAAATTTGTAAGAATTTGAGCCCTAGTATCCATGTGATACATTTCAGCATGGTACAACTGTATCAGATGTATAAGAACTTTTTTTAACTTTTATTTCTTTATAAAGAAATAAAGCAAACTGGAAATAAGCTTAGGAAACTGTGAGCTGGAAACCTAATATTGAAATAGATGATTATTACCATGTTTCCCCCCAAATAAGACACTGTCTTACATTTATTTTTTCTCAAGAAGACACACTAGGGCTTATTTTCCAGGGACGTCTTATTTTTACTAAGTATAATACAACAATCTACATTTATTCAAATACAGTTAAGTCGTCATCTTCTGGAACCTGACAGGGGGAGCTGACCCTGTCGGTGGGGCTGGGGCTAGTGATGCGTGAACTCCTTTCCCCTAGCCATTTGTAGGTGCGCGATAGGATGTTTGCGACCAGGGCTTGGAGAAAGGAGCTGTGGCAGATAAAAGGTGTTCCAGGCTTCCTTACTGCTCTGCACCAAAATGCATGGCCACGCCCATCACTAGGTCTTATTTGCTTATATTTAACAAATGCATAGAAATTCTGCTAGGGCTTATTTTTTGGGTAGGTCTTATTTTGGGGAAAACATGGTAACAGCACCTCATTCATTCCTTCCTTTATTACACAAAGCAAGGGACACTTTATGTTTTTATATGGTTCTAAGTTGGTGGGAATTTGATTTTATATAGGAATGATTGCTTTTATGTTTACAACCAGTTATAGAATAACTCTAATTTCTCTCATACCTAGAATAAATACTCAAGCACAAATTCTGCATTTCTCAAAAATATTAAGAGATTCTGTGGTCAAATACTGTGTTTGGGGAACAAGTACAACTTCGACAAGTTTTGTTGCTGTATGATTTCTTGGAGTCTTTTAATTTAACTATCATGGATTCTCCTTTACACTTCTTTTTTTTTTGAGACAAAGTCTCAGTTGCCCTGGTATTACAGCTCACAGCAACCTGAAACTCTTGGACTCAAGCAATTCTCTTGCCTCAGTCTCCCGAGTAGCTGGGACTACAGGCACCTGCCACAACACCCAGCTCCTTTCAGTAGAGACGGTGTCTTGTTATTACTCAGGCTGGTCTCAGAACTCCTGAGCTCAGGCAATCCACCTGCCTCAGCCTCCTGGAGTGCTTCACACGTTTTTTCTTCCAAAGAATATAAGCACAGTTTGAGAAAGCCCAGGTTAAAGAACTCAGGTTACATTTATTTATTTTTGAGATAGTTTCACTCAGTTGCTCCAGGCTAAAGTGCCATGGTGTCATAGCTCTCAGCAACCTCAAATTCCTAGGCTCAAGGGATCTCTTGCCTCCGGTTCCCAAGTAGCTAGGACTACAGGCTTTTGATTCTTGCTAAGGCTGGGCTTGAACTGCTGAGCTCAAGCAATCCACCTGCCTTTGGCCTCCTTGAGTGCTAGGATTACAGGTGTGTACCACTGCACCCAGCCTAGGTTACATTTTAAATACTATAGTTAATGAGCTAGCATGAAAAAGAAAATCAGTTAAAAAATATTGATGGTAATGATTAAGATTGATTAAAAGATGACAAATCTGTAAAATTAGGAAAAATTATTTCCTCTACTTTTCTTGGTTTTTAACTTCAGATGTATGAGGTATAGCTAATAGGTTAGATTTATAAGATTAAACTCAATAGCCAAGAACATATTCTGCACTTTGGCAGCTTGTATAATGTTAAGCCCCTACTGTAAAAACCAAAAATACACTGTATGTGTGTATGGCAGAGGCACAGAAAGGAATTCCTTCTGAGAAAGTACTTAAGGTATATATAACACTCGTTAGTTATATTAACGAATACTTTTTACTTTTCAAATTAAAAAGTTTGATTTACATAGGTTTAAAGTCTTTTGAAGAAAGACATTTTTATAATAAGTTATAAATGTCTTAAGTTTGAGTATCTGTAATATGAAATATGGTAGACAGCTAATATTTAATATTTTAATTGTGCTTACATGTTTCTGGCCTTAAAGCCAAGTTGTGTTTTTAAAGTTGTTTAGAAAGGCAAATCCTAGGCTGAGTGTGATAGCTCATGCCTGTAATCCTAGCACAATGGGAGGCTAAGGCAGGTGGATTGGTTGAGAGTTCGAGAACAGCCTGAGCAAGACTATCTCTACTTAAAAAAAAAAAAAGAAAGAAAGAAACTAGTCAGCATTGTGGTGGGCACCTGTAGTTCTTGCTACTCTGGAGGCTGAAGCAAGAAAAGAGGATTGCTTGAGTCCAAGAGTTTGAGGCTGCTGTGAGCTGATACATACTCTACTCAGGGTGACTGAGTGAGACTGTCTCAAAAAAAAAAAAAAATAAAAAAAAAAAAGCAAATCTTCATTAGGTTAAGGTTATAGGTTCAGTTTTTATGTAGGACATTTAACTTTGTTCCAACAACTAACAGTGCAACCAGTCATCCTAAGCATGCTACTTCAAGAAAAGGAGAGTGGATTATTGTAAACTTCATTCCCACATCGCAAAAATTACAAAAAAGTACATGCTCTGTAACTAATGGTGGGCAGTATCTTTACCATAAACAATTTCCTACAAGAACTCTTAGTTAAGAATCTCTTTTGCTGCTTATGTAAAACAGGTATTTTAAAGTGAAAACCATAAAAATTAAATCTGGGTAAATTATGTCATATTTTATACTGTATGGCAAACATTCACAAAAGACGTATATATAATACAATTAATAAGGATAATAGGAATTTGGCAATAGAAATACTATAACATGTTAAAAGAAAATTTTTCCTGCAATCCAATTAAGAACATCTTAATCTCAATTCACAGTCCAATTATACCATAAATTATAACTCCTTTTATTATTACCTAGTGGTTAGTTCCTCTTTTACCTTTATGGTAAATGTAATAGCATTGTGTAACAATGTAATAAGATAAAATATTTAACCGGATGTTAACAGGGCTGCTGGAAGGTTGGTACTACCCTGAGGACTTGTCATTCATTAAGTTTGTTGTGATTTTGTCATTTGATTAGACTTGTTTTAGTACAAATGCTTTAAAAACTAGTTGTATTTTTCTGTAGCGTATTTCTTAGGCAGTTAAAAGTTTCACCTGCGTAAAAATTTTAACACACTTGATTTTAGGAATTCATTGTTCACTTAGCCAAGGGTTTCTGTGTATTATTCAGAGCATAAAAATTTGGGTCATTGAGTCAATAAATATTTTGAGCACCTGTTTATATGCTAAACACTGTGAGAAAGGCTCTATAACAATGAAACTTGGTTGTGCACTCCAGATAACACATGATCCTTTAAAAATATTTCTGTATGTAATCAGTTTTAACATACACATTGTCATCTACGTTTTTCTTCAATACACAAACCACTGGTGTCCGAACTATCCATGGAATTGATTTCAGCTTTTTGAGAGCCCTCTTTTATTTTCCATTTTTTTCAAAGTAACTTTTGATCCTGTGGAACTCTTATTATACTTTTTTTATAATGCCCTTTTAGACTTTTGTGATAGATTGTCTACTTCTGTTGGTCGTCTGTTCAAACTCCAACCACAATCCCACCATAAGCTACCTTTTGTCCCACATTCTAATCAGGTCTTTATAGTTTCTTTTTTATTTCTAAACTAAATAAATTTCTCAACTTTGCCTCCACAATTTTTGTTCAAATTCATGTTTTTGATTAATACTTTAGAATCTTACAGGGTACCACTCCAGAAATAAGATCTTTTACCTTTTTTTTTTCTATTTTAGCACTTGAAAGGGCTCGCTATTTACCCTTATTATTTCTACCACGGTATATCTGTGGGTGCATCATAAATGATCATAAAGATCCAAATTGTACTGAACACTCACAGCTAAATGACACTTCTCAAGGGAGTAATCCAAGGAGGAAAAAAGAAATCTAAGCATATTAAATCAATCAAAGGATTTAATTAAAGAAATTAAGCTTCTATAGATCATAATGTCATGTGCTAAAATATCATGCTAAAAATGAATTATTAATGAATAGAGAACTATTGATCCATTTGGAAAATACAAAATAACTTTTACTGTTTTTATTTGTTAAAAGAATTACATTCATATAAATGAAATGATTTTACCATAATGCATTTACTGATTGTGTTTCTTGCCGTCTTGTGGCATCCAGGATCCTGGCTGAAAGGTTTTACCAGTGCTGGTGGGAGCTGCTGAGGGCTCTTCCTTTCCAAAGAATGGAGCAGAGGCATGCCCTTTGACTTGAGTTTGAACTGGTGGAGCCAAGAGTTCCTCATGGGTCTGCTTGCCAAGTAGTTTTTCATTTTCATAAAAAGCTTTGCTTTTTATTTTCATGTCGTTTCTATTTTTTTCATTCTCTAGTATTTCCTGCAGGTATATATAAATAGCAGATATTATTAAATTTCTAGTTAAAAAAATTGTTATGAAAGTAAAATAGCCAATACAATTAAAATATTATATACATATACTCAAAAATAGATATCTACATCCTTGCTTTGCATTTAAATAATATATAGATATGTATAGGATAAGTGTGGGAAAGCTATATGATTATATACCAGTGCTATAGGAATTAAACAGCCTTGTCCTGATTTTATGCTATGATAGACGTGAAGCGCCACAAAATAGAAATACTCCCCCCAAAGTGAAGCAAACTACCTAATGTGAAATACTACACAAGAGCAGGGAGTCACTCTATCAAAGATTTTCTAGGGTTTACATCTATTTTGTGCTTTAAAACCCCTCACCAGTGACTATGCTTTTCCACTGAAGAGGAAGAAATGAGGTTCCTACTTTTTTTTTTGCCGTGGGAATTAAAATGCCAATGCTAAGGCCACTATCTATACTGCCAGGATCAAGCCCCATCTATTTCCCTGCCTTCTCTAGAGTGGTATGGCAGAGAAGGACAGGAACAGAATCAGAGTCCAGTATGCCCTACACACCTGTTCTATCTAGAAAAGTGCTTTGCTCTTGGAAATATTTTCTCAAATCACTGCAGTTTGTGCAATGTAGTTCTGTTCTTCAGGTTTCTAACAAGGAGGATCTATCCCAAAAATTATCATCTATTGGCGCCGGGCCCCATATGCCAGAGGTGGTGGGTTCAAACTCAGCCCTAGCCAAACAAAAACTGCAAAAAAAAAAAAAAAGCATCATTATATGTAGCAATAAAAAAGGCAAATTCCTTCACAAAATATTCTTATTTCAGAGATGTTAAAATCTAAAGGGTAGTGCCTGTGGCTCAGTGGGTAGGGCACCGGCCCCATATTCTGGGGGTGGAGGGTTCAAATCCCGCCCTAGCCAAACTGCAACAAAAAAATAGCCAGGCGTTGTGGCGGGTGCCTGTAGTCCCAGCTACTCAAGAGGCTGAGGCAAGAGAATCGCCTAAGCCCAGGAGTTGGAGGTTGTGAGCTGTGTGATGCCATGGCACTCTACCGAGGGCGATAAACTAAGACTCTGTCTCCACCCCAAAAATAACACTAAAAAGATGTGAGGATCTATGCCAAAAATTATAATCTATTTTATTACAATAGTTCATTGAATAAAAGCCTATCACACTTAAGTAGCATCATTATATGTAGCAAAGAAAAGGAAAGGCAAATTCCTTCACAAACATCCTGATTTCAGAGATGTTAAAATGTGAAAATATGTGCATCTTAGAAATCAGATATGTAGTAATTACATCTTTTACCTTTATTGATTCTTGCTTCCTCTTAATGATTATTTCTAAGTGGGTGAATTTTTTTTTTCTTGAGACAGAGTCTCACTACGTCACCTTTGGTAGAGTGCTGTGGCATCACAGCTCACAGCAACCTCTAACTCTTGGGCTTAAACGATTCTCTTGCTTCAGCCTCCCAAGTATCTGGGACTACAGATGCCTGTCACAATGCCAGGCTGTGTTTTTGTTGTAGGTGTCACTGTTCGTCAGGCCAGGGCCGGGTTCAAAACCTCCAGCCCTGGTGTATGTGGCTGGCACCCTAGTCGCTGAGTTACAGGTGCCAAGCCAATGGGTGAATTTTTTAAATGTTCTTTTTGCTTATCTGTATTATTTTTCTTTTAAGAACAAAGATATCATTTATAATATGAAACTAAAATGTTAATGTAACCTAACAACATAAAGTTCAAGTTCTTTTTAAAATTTCAACACTTAAAAGAATGACATTTGAAGGACAACATCTAGGCATCTAAATACGATATAACCTTTTTGCTTCTAAAGTGAATTACAAGTAATACTGCATAGTCCTTTAAAAAGGCAAGCATTGATTTAACCTTCAAAATAATGGTTTGTACTTAAAGGAGAAAAAAGTTTTTGTGATTAATAGAGTTATTTATACAGTATTTTTAGTTTCAAATGTGAAGAAAAGCCCATCTAATGAAACTTCCCTCTCAAAGCAAATAATGTATGTGGAAGAACAATATCTATAAATATTTTTGTAATTTTCATAACATCAATTCCCCACAAGTAGTTTAATAACCATGGTAATTATGAGTTCTAGAGCAGTTGCTACAAATGAGCATGACAATACAGAAACTGGGCTTTGCCTTTCCTACACCCTATAGAATTCTTAGTTCCACTGAGCATACTTCACAAAGGAAACCCCTCAGTATCATACTGGAAATAATGGATGTAGACAAAATATACTCTCACATCTCCATGTTCTCTTCGAGTTCTGTGTCTTCATGGAAGCTTATTCTTTGGACCAGGTTAAACTTGCATTAGTAACCAACCTCAAGTACCAACAGGATCTTCAGAAGCTGGTACTCAGAAGTTGCTTGGTTTTGGTATAAGAGGGTAAGTCACATCACCTGAAGCTGTGTCCATGTCTACTTTGCTTACTTCACCTCTACTGTAGCATTTTTTTTTTTTTTTTTTGAGACAGAGTCTCAAGCTGTCACCTTGGGTAGGGTGCCATGGTGTCATACCTCAAAGCAACCTCCAACTCTTGGGTTCACAGGATCCTCTTGCTTTAGTTTTTTTCTGTTTTTAGTAGAGACGGGGGTCTTGCTCTTTCTCAGGCTAGTCTGGAAGTCTTTGAGCTCAAGCTCTCCACCTGTCTTGGCCTCCCAGAGTGCTAGGATCACAGGTGTGAGCCCCTGCACCTGGCCCTACTATTATAGTCTTTTAGCTGGTATATGCATAGGCTTCCTGATTAGAAGGAAATGGGAAAAGGTCTATTCCCTTTTCTTTTCTCCTGCCTTCACATCATTTCTCTTTATTCACTGTTACTCTTCCAAGTCAGTCTCTTTCTTACCACAGCTATTTAGGCAGATGAAAACCTAATCTGAATATGTTAATTACCTTAAATGAGAAAATTTTAATCTCATGAGAAATCTAATGAGAAAAATTAAATCAGATTAAAGATTTCATTCAGAGTCGAAAAATGTGGAGGCTATAATTTTTCCTAAAAAAGAATTGACTTTTTAAAAAAAATTACCAAGCAGACCACTGCAAATAGCTTTCAAGAAAACTAAACAAAACATAAATCATTTATGACAAAATATATAGTTTTATAAATATTTAGAATTCACAAAATGAAAGGAGGTAGAGAATACAGGAATTGTAGACTTCATAGACAAACAAATCATCTCCTAAGAAAGTCAATTTTGGAGTAGAAGCTACTATAAAGTATTTTTCCTTACTATTCCTTGGAACAATATCACCTTAAGTCTCCATAAGTTTATCAATTAACAGTATGTTCCAGTATTTCTGTAAGATTAAATCTAGACCATTGAGGGGGGGTCTAGATTTTTATTTTATAAATGTCTTTTTTAAAAAAATTTATTTTACTTATTGCTTTTCTTCCGATAATAAGTATTTTTCTTCAACATTAAAAAATGACTCTGGTATATTATCTATCATTTGTATTGCACAGGCAATCCCTAGATTATGAACGAGATAGGTTCTATAGGTTTGTTTTTCAGTTGAATTTGAAAGTAAATTGGAATAGGTACATTTACCTACTATCTGTAATAGCCTACAATTCTAACATGAGTTGTGCATCAGTCAGATGTTTGTAACTCAGGGACTGCCTGTATCATGATTTACTTAACACTACTCCTGCTGTTGCTTCTGCATGACACCAAGAAAGCCACTTGATTTTTTTTAAGCCTCAGTTTCTTTACCTGAAAGGGGGAATAAAGTTAACTTCTAACATAGCTGACTACATATACTACAAGGTAATAGTGCTTTTTATAAAACAACCGTACCAAATGAAATATCTTCTTTCTTTTTATTTCTCTTAAGCAACCTCTAGAGTTCCCTTAAAGGTTGACAGATCTATGCAGAATATAGATTTTTTAGTATTTTAATGTAAGCAAGACATTATACTTGATTTAAAAGTGAATCTTGTTTATATGTGACTGTGTATGTACAAATATTTACACTTAAATACTTATGGTATAAGGTCCTCTGAAAGTTTCTTAATAGTGGTTAAGAACACGGGCTTTGATGCACAACAGCTACAACAAATCTCAGTCTGCCATTTACTAGCTGTATAATCTGTGAATATTACTTGACTTCCTTGTATCTCAGTTTTCTGGGTAAAATCCAGATAACAATATTATCTTCTTCAGTGGGTTGTTGTAAGGATTGGGAAAGAACTAGTTACTGGGCATTGATACTATAACAGAGAAAGGTATAGAGATTTAAAAATAGTGATTGTTTATTCCATCCTATTAAAAAATAAACATACCAAACATCTACCCATCCCTCTGAGATAGATATATGTGTTACTAAGATATAATCTGCTAGTTTCAGGCTCAGATGGAGTAACTGGTATCAGACTAGTCCTCCTGCCATAAAACAACTAGAAAATTGGATGAAAACATATTAAACTTTGCATATACAGGACAATAGGCGGTGTGGTACAGGGATCCTTGACAAGAAAGGAACAAATGAGATAAACCCTGTATTACCTCAGATTTCTGTCTGAAGGTACATTGTAGGCTGCTATGTGGGGTGGGGGTACTCTAGCAGGGGATGGCAGTCTGAGTAAGCAGAAGAATTAGAGATGATTGTTTAGGGAGGCTAGGAAACCTGGGACATACTGAGCAGAGTACCAGAATACACAGAGAAAGAGTTCTAGCACTGAGAACTTGCACTGGACTAGGAGACATTTAAGTTATTGCTAGCCATAAAGACCTAATTGAACACCTGGGGCATTCAGTGTAAATACTCTAGAAGAGTCACTCCTTAGCATAAGGCTAAATTGGCATGTGAGTAGAGTTTATTCCAGATCTGTGATGTACAATTCAATAGCCACTAGCCACATTACTTAAATTTAAATTAAACAAACAATTTAGTTTCTTTATTTCATTAGCCATATTTCAGATATTTAATAGCCAAGTGTTAGTAGTGGCCACAACATTGT